TTCATGTCAGCATGACCTTGCAGTTATGAACAAGTCAGCTCATACTATGCAAAGACATGAAGTTTCTAGTAATAAATCACACTAGAAGACAAGGCACTAATTCATTCAAGCTTTGTAAACCCAGTCCTGAGCACTGGGAACCACACCTCCTAACCACCTTCCAGCTGGAAGTATCCTTGTTTGCCAGAGTTTGGGTTCTCACTTGGTAAAATATTCCAATCAAGTAAAGCTCTCTGAATTTTATGCTCACAGTCATAATCATGTAAAGGCTGAATTTTGCTCAAACCATGATGACAGTATAGTGACTTAATCAGAACAATGGTAAGGAAAGAGGACAGGAATTGTGTGATACAGTAGAAGACAGCTAAACTCCCAAGGGGCAAGTTCCCTTCTCCAGGGGATCTTCCCAACTCAGGGGTCAAACTCAGGTCTCCTGCATTGCAGGTAGATTCTTCACCATCTGAGTCAGAAGGGAAGCCCAAGGAAAGAGAACAGAAATTGTGTGGTACAGTAGAGAGAGAGGTGACCTACTGGGGCAAGGCAGCAGATAAAACAGGAAAACAAGGAGGGTGTGGTATAATCTTGCTGATCAGCGGTGGGGATGTGAGTGAGCAGGGAGCTCTGCTGACAGCTGGAAGGGCTGTTCCCAGGGCAGGAGTGCCTGTAGGCGCCCAGACAATGACATTTGTAGGGATGAAGTGAAGTTGCTCAGTCGTGTCCGACTCTTTGTGACCCCATGGACTGTAGCCTACCAGGCTCCTCCATCCATGGAATTTTCCAGGCAAGAGTACCGGAGTGGGTTGCCATTTCCTTCTCCAGGGGATCTTCCCGACCCAGGGATGAAGGAAATGCCAAAAACAAAACACAAACAAAAAAACCCCCCAAAACCAACAAAACACTTGTCATTATACACAAACCCGCATCTTTTCTGTATGAGACAACGAGGTCTCTACAACCTGAACTGTCTGTTCCAGGAGTCAGTAACGAGAAAGTACAATGCTAAAGCCACAAACAAGAGTCTCGGCATATGGCCGCATTTATTCCTGTTCCTTTTAATTTGTTTTTATTTCTGCTTATCCTGCTTTATTCTGCATTGAATTCTGAGAAACATCTAGAATATTGTTGGAAGCAGGCAAGCTACCTTTGGCTGCTACACATTCATAGAAAGATTTAGTGGTTCCTTTAGACTACTGGATTCAAGGTGGTTCACTCAGCAGATCCTATGTTCACTGGGGTGGAATCCTGGCTCTGTCACTAACAGCTGTGCAATGGGGGGGGCAGGTGATTGAACCTTTCACCTCTCTGTGACTCTGTTTTCTTGTCAGTATCATAGAAATCATAATGGTAACTACCTCAGAGGGAGTCATATGAAGTCAATGCTTAAGTGAGGTGGTATGTACCAGGTAGGATGATATACTCCTACGTCATGGTCTGGAGAAGGTGTCAGGCGCTATAGACCAGGACAGCTCCCAGGCTCTGGGGTCTGAGCTTGACTAACCTTCTTCTGATGATGTAATTCTAGATAAGCGACCTGACCCCCTGTCCCCAGTCCTCCCAGGTCTTCCTACCTCTTCCTTTCCAAGGGATCCTGCTAACTTTTCAACCTATCTCACTGACAATTCAGTTCATTAGGTCATCACCTCTGAAATTTTACCAGTTAGTTAGGTTCAGTTCAGCCACTCAGTTGTGTTGACTCTGACTCTTTGCAACCCCATGGACTGCAGCACGCCAGGCATCCCTGAACATCACCAACTCCCGGAGCTTGCTCAAACTCATGTCCATCGAGTCAGTGATACCATCCAACCATCTCATCCTCTGTCGTCCCCTTCTCCTGTCTTTGATCTTTCCCAGCATCAGTCTTTTCCAGTGAGTTAGTTCTTCCCATCAGATGGCCAAAGTATTGGAGCTTCAGCTTCAGCATCAATCCTTCCAATGAATAGTCAGGAATGATTTCCTTTAGAATTGATTGGTTTGATCTCCTTGCAGTCCAAGGGACTCACACAATTACCATACAGCATGACCATCAGTTCAGTTCAGTTCAGTCGCTCAGTCATGTCCGACTCTTTGTGACCCCATGGACTGCAGCACACCAAGCCTCCCTGTTCATCACCAACTCCTGGAGTTTACTCAAACTCATGTCCATTGAGTTGGTGATGCCATCCAACCATCTGTCATCCCCTTCTCCTCCTGACTGGCTGGGGTCCTACTCTGTGGTTCAGTGCATCAGGCGTTTGATGGGCCAGCCTCTCTATTGTTCAGCTGCCAAAGCTGGCACGTGGCGGGGAGAGAGGCTATGGTGATGGCTCCACCCCCGACGTGTGACTCAGCAGTATTGCCTTGCTCCCAGCTTTCCTCCACAGGCATTTCCCACCACAATCTCCTCCCTCACATTCCCTTGGCAGTTCTCTCTGCAGTCAACAGCAGTTCTCACCCTGGGATTTCTCCACAATCCCTAAACTCCAGCTCCCAGCTGCTGCGCCTTCCAGAGGACCGGCATCCCTGTCCGGGGTATGTGTGGCTGCGGCAAGGACTGTCTGATTCTCATTCCATCTAGGCTGCCACAGCTCAACTGTTTCACTCTCAGCCTTAAATGTTTCTCCTCTGACTTAGACAATTGTCCCCATGTGAGGATCGAACTCCTGCTTTAGTCCCCTACCCGCTGAGGGCAGGTCCAGTCCTACTAACACTATTTCCCCCTGTAGTTCCTTCATGCTACTGAGTTTTGCGTGGTTCTGTATATTCTTTTCCACTGGTCAGGTACTCCTGTCCACTCTCAACTGGTGTTCTGCATGCACTTTGTGTCTGAAGGCGTATTCCTGATGTATCGGAGAGAGATGTACTCCACGTTTACCTACTTCTCTGCTATCTTGTTCTCTCCTATACCAGTGGTTCTTAATGAGGTGGGGAGTAGGATTATGCCACCCTGGGGACATGTGACAATATCTGGGATGAGTGCTGTTGTCATAGCCAGAGGGAGGGGGGAGGTTCTATGGCATCCAGTGGGTGGAGGCCTGGGGAACTGCCAAGCCTGCAATGCCCAGTGTGGCCCCCACTGCACAGAACCAGCAGCCCCGTGCATCTGTGGGGTTGAGGTGGAGAACCCTGAGCTGTGAAATCAGCTTCTTGGGCAGGAGTCACAAGCTCCGTGTCAGGATCCCTCCACTGAGTGCCTCACCCCTGGGGGTTCATCGGTGGATGAATGTTTGTCAATAAACTCTCTGGCAGAGTGAATGGAGCTTAGAGAAGGGATGGACCTGTAGAGAGGGGCTATTTCTACCCAACTCACAAATACTGAACAAGGGATAGGCCAGGACTGAGTAAAGTGTATGAAACTGAATCTGACCCCCTCTCTAAACGCACTGCCCACTCCCTGGTGGACAAGGTACGTGCAGAGACAAATGACTGAGATTGGAGGGAGGAAAATGCAGATGAGCCAAGTGCTCTGGGCAACAAGCAACCAACAAAAAAGGGAAGGTGGGCCTGGTTTAGGGGATTAGTGGGATGACTCCAAATGGCCTTCTGCTCAGGGTTAGGAGCACTCAGTTTATTTTACCTGCAGTAATCACTTAATCACCCAAACCATCCTTAAGTTGGGTGTTGTGGGTTACCCTGAGTTCAATTGTTATACTAATTCTAAGAGCCTCAGAATGTGACCTCATTTGGATACAGGACCTTTAAGGAGATGACTCAGTTAAAACAAGATCTTTAGAGTGACCCTAATCCAATACGAAATAGCCTGTTGATGAGTGTGAAAGAGGAAAGTGAAAAAGCTGGCCTAAAACTCAACATTCAAAAAACTAAGATCATGGAATCTGGTCCCATCACTTCATGGCAAACAGAAGGGGGCAATGTGGAAACAGTGACAGATTTTATTTTCTTGAGCTGCAAAATCACTGTGGATGGTGGCTGCAGCCACAAATTTAAAAGATGTTGCTTCTCATAAAAAAAGCTACAACAAACCCAGACAGATATTAAAAAGCAGAGACATCTCTTTGCTGACAGAGGTCTGTATAGTCAAAGCTATGGTTTTTCCAGTAGTCATGTATGGATGTGACTGTTGGTCTATAAAGATGGCTGAGCACTGAAGAATTGATACACTTTAATTGTGGTGCTGGAGAAGACTCTTGGGAGTCCCTTGGACTGCAAGGAGATCAAACCAGTCCATCCTAAAGGAAATCAACCCTGAATATTCATTGGAAGGACTGATGCTCAAGTTGAAGCTCCAATACTTTGGCTACCTGATGAAAAGAGCTGACTGATTAGAAAAGACCCTGATGCTGGGAAATCCTGAGGGCAAGAGGAAAAGAGGGTGACAGAGGATGAGACAGTTGGATGGCATCATTGCCTAACGAGCATGAGTTTGAGCAGACTCCGGGAGAAAGTGAAGGACAGAGGAGCTTGGTGTGCTGTGGTCAGAGTCAGATGCGACTTAGCAAGCAAATGCCAGAGACAAGGTACACAACATAACGATTAGATACATGCATATACTGCCAGTTACCATGGTAAAATGGTTAGCATTCNCTGCATTGACAGATGGGTTCTTTACCACTAGTGCCGCCTGGGAAGCCCTGAGTTTTGTGCTGACTGCTGTCAAATGGAAGCTCAACATGTGACACAAAACCACAGGAGACAATCCATGTGTCCCCACCCCACTGTGGGCACAGCGGGCCTTCTCAGCTCCCCTTGGATGCGCCTAGCTTCTGCCTAAAGTCAAGGACATGCCCTTCTCTCCTGGGACAGACTTGCTGCCTAGTCAGTTTCAGATTCTGCCTGCAATGCAGGAGACCTGGGTTCGATCCCTGGGTTGGGAAGATCCCCTGGAGAAGGAAATGGCAACTCACTCCAGTATTCTTCCCTGGAGAATCCCATGGACAGAGGAGTCCATAGTGTCAGAAAGAGTCAGACACAACTCAGCGGCTTTCTCTTTCACTTTTCAGCCTCAGAGAAGGCAAACAACCACGTGGGGGAGCTAGGCTTTCTTTTCTCGCACTGATACTTACATCTCATCCTCAAAGCAGATCTTGGCGTATTTGTCCCTGCCACCCCCGCTGAGCAACCGGTAGGCGTAGGTGTCTGCTGGACACGGGGACCAGTGATCACATTTTTGCCTTTTGGGGGTTGGGGCTGCAACAAACAGGAATATAACAGTTAGCATCACACAGTATTGATCAGAAGAATCCACTGCTTGGCCATGAATGGCAGTTTGTCTGTCCCAGGACTTCATATTGGCAAATCCCAGTAGTGGTGGAGAGCTTCCCAGATGGTGAAGAATCCACCTACAACGCATGAGGCCTCGGTTTAATTCCTGGGTTGGGAAGATCCCCCGGAGGAGGGAATGGCCTCCCATGCCAGTACTGCGAGAGGAAAACTGGGAAGATGTGAAGCTAATTCAACCTGCTTTTGCCTTCAAACAGCAAATAAGCAACAGGAGGGGATGCTGAGTAGGCAGAACCATTTAAAAGGAGTTGGGAATCACTCTTAATCTTTAAGCGTGCTGGTGAACCAACCAGTAGCCTGTGGAACATCTATCCAGCTTCTGAATTTACATACCTGAGATACACACACACACACTCTTGACCACTGTTAGCCCTGCCCCCAGGCCACAGGTGCAAGACCTTGTACCAAGGCCAGAAGTAGAGCCCAGAAACAAGGTCACCTCTGAAGCTGACCGAGCCCCTTGGTAGTCGTTGCCAAAAGCCCATCCCTGCCCCCACCCCCCACACCCTTGATCCTCATGAGCAGGCTTCCTGACCCATTATTAGACACAAATGCCCTCCCCAGTGCTCACCCTAACCAATCACCTAATGCCACCCTTCCAGCAGGAATTTTCTTCGTCTTGAGGCTTTAAAAATTGGCTACTAACCCACGAAAGGGGTCGGCTCTGCCTGGTCCGTCAGGAGGCATTGGCCTGCTAGCTCGCAGCACCTGCATTATCTCTGCTTTTTGTTCTCTATAAACTCACTCCCTTCTGAGATGCTCTGTGTCTGGAAACTCTTTTCCAACCCACGTTCAGACTGCCTCCACAACACCACTCTGGCCTTGGCTGACCCCTCTCCTTTCCCTTAAGTGTGAGACACTGAGGTTTTCTGCCTGGGCTGCTGTCAGCGGTGGCAGGCCCCGGAGATGTCTTGCCCAGCAATAGAGGTCAGCAATCGGGGAGGGTGGGGCCAGCCAGCCCCGGGCACTACCTGCATCTCCCACTACTGGGTGCCTTGTTGCCATCACTACCACGCGTGTCTCCCTCCTCTCACAGGTGTGGCTGTCTGTCATCACCCACAGAACCCAGAGTCTTATGCTGGGCTCAAATTTTAATCCTGAGTCTCCAGAAAAAAAAATCAGAAAGTGCTCCCACTCCTCCAGTTTGAGTGGGATATGCTGCCTTATGGATCCCTGCAGCGCTCTTCTGTTTCATCCACCTGGATGAAAGCTCGGCCGGCAGGGTGGCTGGGAGGCCCTGCTGGGGGAGTCAGGACTACCCATGAGTCCTGTGATGGCTGAGTGCCATGGGGCTGAGCTGGACCAGGGCTGAGCTGCTTGGGGATCATGGGACTGGTCCGTCAGGAGGCATTGGCCTGCTAGCTCGCAGCACCTGCATTATCTCTGCTTTTTGTTCTCTATAAACTCACTCCCTTCTGAGATGCTCTGTGTCTGGAAACTCTTTTCCAACCCACGTTCAGACTGCCTCCACAACACCACTCTGGCCCTGGCTGACCCCTCCCCTTTCCTTTAAGTGTGAGACACTGAGGTTTTCTGCCTGGGCTGCTGTCAGTGGTGGCAGGCCCCGGAGATGTCTTGCCCAGCAATAGAGGTCAGCAATTGGGGAGGGTGGGGCCAGACAGCCCCGGGCACTACCTGCATCTCCCACTACTGGGTGCCTTGTTGCCATCACTACCACACGTGTCTCCCTCCTCTCACAGGTGTGGCTGTCTGTCATCACCCACAGAACCCAGAGTCTTATGCTGGGCTCAAATTTTAATCCTGAGTCTCCAGAAAAAAAAATCAGAAAGTGCTCCCACTCCTCCAGTTTGAGTGGGGATATGCTGCCTTATGGATCCCTGCAGCGCTCTTCTGTTTCATCTACCTGGATGAAAGCTCGGCCGGCAGGGTGGCTGGGAGGCCCTGCTGGGGGAGTCAGGACTACCCGTGAGTCCTGTGATGGCTGAGTGCCATGGGGCTGAGCTGGACCAGGGCTGAGCTGCTTGGGGATCATGGGGATGCTGGTGCATGCCCACTCCTGGTGCACCCCAACAGCACACTTATCTCTTCGCATCTTTCTTCCCCTCACTTGCGCTACTCCCATCACTAACCAAAGCTCCAACCCACCTTGCACTGTCCAGCTTGCTCTGTTTTATTTTCTTTTGCTTAGCCCTCATCACTGTTTAATACCCCATAGTTTTTTTTTTTTTTAAAGCTTCTCCATGAGGACAAGGATGTCATCTGTTTATTTTTGCCACACCCCCAGCACCTAGTGGGTGTGCAGCATAAGCAGCTGCCCTATCAGCATGCTGAACAAATATGGAATGGAGCAGGACCCTGTGGGGCCTTCCTGGGACGGATCCCCACCCTCCCCCTGGCCTGAGTCCTCTGCCTGCCTCTTGTCTGTAGAAAAGCTTAGTCTCCCAGGACTCCCCAGAGTCACAAAAGCCTGACTCAAGAATTAATGATTGAAGGTATATGTGATTGTATAGTGACAAAAGTGTGGGCCAGGAGAAGTGGTAACAATTTAAACAGTAAATCAGTGACATGGCAGTGACAGAATCTTTAGTTCCTCCCTGAAGTACACAACAGGGATAAGAGTATCTCATGCACAGCACTGAGTTGTTTTACAGGTTCTAAAACCACCACCAAAAGGAAGAGGGTAACTACCCAATGACTATTGTGTGTGTTTTAAGTTGCTTCAGTTGTGTCCAACTCTTTGTGACCCTATACTTATCCCGCCAGGCTTCTCTGTCCATTCGATTCTCCAGGCAAGAATACTGGAGTTGGTTGCCATGCCCTCCTCCAGGGGATCTTCCCTACCCAGGAATTGAACCCACATCTCTTACATCTACCTGTACTGGCAAGCAGAGTCTTTACCACTAGTGCAACCTGGGAAGCCACCCAATGGCCATTAGCATGTATATTCCAGACCTACTGGAGCCTCAGGAGTGATTACATTAACCCCTGGTACACTGCTGTGACACTAAACTAGCGGGCAGTCACTCCTCGCCCTTCTTTTTTCGGTTCTGGCAACAACAGGCCCTTGAGCCCCAGGTCTGATCTCTATGTGCACCTACATGATAGGTGCCCGAGGCAGGAGCAGCAGACTCCCAGCTGAGAGCAGGTGGAAGGAAAGCGGGAGCTGGCAGCTCTCTGAAAAGCACAGCTGCATGATGGCCTAGGGTGCTTGGGTACCAGGGAGTTGGGGCTCCCCCCCTCAACTGGCCCTTGTTCCTCCTCCTGCCCGTCAGAAAGAAAAATAAGGCCGGCCCTCCCTCCTCTCTCCGTGGATTCCACATCTTGGACTCAACCAACCAGGAAGTGAAAAGATTAAAAAAAATTCCTGAAAGACCTGAAAAGCAAAACTTGAATTTGCATATGGCAAGCAATGCTTTACTTAGCATTTACATTGTATTTACAACTACTGACATATCATTTACATTGTACTAGGCTTTATACTTAACCTAGCTATGATTTAAAGTGTGTAGGAGGGTTGTTAAGACAACAAATCCTCAGAGTTCTCATCACAAATTTTTTTCTATTTATTTAATTTTGAGTTTATATGAGGTGGTGGATATTAACTAACTTGTGCAAACCATCTCATGATGTATTTAAGTCCAGTCATCACGCTGCACACCTTAAACTCATACTTGCTTGTTTAGTCGCTCAGTCATGTCAGACTCTGTGACCCTGTGGACTGTAGCCTGCCAGGCTCCTCTGTCCATGGGATTATCCAGGCGAGGATACTGGAGTGGGTTGCCACGCCCTCCTCCACGGGATCTTTCCGACCGACCCAGGGACTGAACCCACGTCTCTTGCATTGCCGGGTGGATTTTTTACTACTGACCACCAGAGAAGCCTCCAAACGTCTCCAGTGCTGTATATATAAACTATGGGAATCCCTGGTAGCTCAGCTGGTAAAGAATCCGCCTGTATATCAATTATATCACAATAAAATTGAAAGAAAAAGAGATGAAGTATAAAGGAAGATGTGGGTGGATAACATGCAGAAGTTGCACCACTTTATATAAGGCACCTAAGCATCTGTGCATTTTGGCATCTGCAGAGGTCTTGGAATCAATTTCCCAAGATAGGGGGGATGACTGTAGTTGTCTCAATCGGGTTTGATGTTCCAAAGGCCACTGGAAGCCTGAGAAACGCTCATCACAGCGGCAACATGCCACCTTGTGCCTGTCCCACTGGGAAATTTGGAAAGCTGGGAACTGCGAGGGTTGCTAAGGACGGCGGGAGACAGGAGCCAGTTCTGGAAAGCTGTCAGGCTCAACGGAGTCACCTGAACTGACAGGTGCGCTGTGGTTCCACTCCTGGGTATGTAAATACCAAAAAAAGTCTCAGCCGTGTCCACGAGGAGACCTGTGGGGATGTCTCCTACACAGCATCTGTGTGGTGACAAGCTGGAGGCAACGGTGGGCGGGGGGGAGCCGGCCCCCACTCCCAAAAATGAAAGAAGAGGAAAATGCGAGAACTCGAGCCCCAGGCACCATGCCGCCTGAGCAGCCTCAGAGGAGGGGCACCCACAGCCAGACAGGTTCTCAGGCACGGTGCTGATTTCCACGCAGCACCGAAACGCACGCCTGCAAAACAGGACAAGCTGGGGTGCCAGCAGGTGTTCAATAGAAGGCTGTCATTAGATGCATCAGAGGGCTGGCAGACGGTGGGTGATGTCGGACAGGGAAGTGGGGATAAAGGGAGAAGTAAATAAAATGACAGAGCAAGGAGGAAAGTGGGGGATAGGATGGATTAGGAGATTAGGATTGATATGTATATACACTACTGTGTATAAGATACACATTAATAATGTATGTACAAAATAGCTGAGAAAAGAAGAGAAGCTAAAGGCAAAGGAGAAAAAGTAAGATAAACCCACCTGAATGCAGAGTTCCAAAGAAAAGCAAGGAGAGATA